GGCATGTTGAGGCTGGAAATTAAGGTGAAGATGTACGGAGTGCTTCTGGAAGTTTCTGCAAACAATACATTTACTTCTAGTTTAAAACAAAAATCCTGAGATACCTGAGTGCACGTCCATTAAATACTGTGTTCTTTTTCAAAATCCCTGCAGACGCGATGTTTTCAGGAAAGAGATGATGGAGAGAACTTTGGGATTCCCTCCTCCTCCAAGACACACTTTTTGGTAGAGGAGAATCATCATTCTTGGCCCTGCTGTCCAACACGTTTACTTAATATCGACTTCTTTGGCCCTATTTGTGAGACGGGATCCTCAGGAAGAGTCTAAGGTCCACGGCTTCCTGCAGGGAGATGTACACAGAGGAATGACATCGAGCATCGCCTTCCGCTCACAGACTGGGTGAATGCGTCTGGCACCCCTTCTCACGTCCAACACGGCCCACAAAAACCCCACAAGCCAAAAAACGCAAATGACAATTCCGTCTTGGGCAGCACGTGAGCCAGGGACCACGGGCTGTGCGTCTGAACATGACTCATGTGCACTCACCTCCCACGCACCGCACGTCCCCGCCGTGTTCCTGTGTGTCTGGATTAGAGCGCCCTGCGGGGCGGGTGCAATGCAGCCTTGCTATCAAGAGGGCCAGGGCACATCGGCCTGGTTTTCGGGGAGGACAGCTGTGAGTCTGCTTTCACTGAACTCAGTGGGTCAAGTCCACGGTGCAGGTGTGGATCCGGGAGGCTGGACCTCTCCCTGGGCAGCCTCGCCCATCCCGTGCTGGACCTGGCAATGCCACTGTTCAAACGCACCCCCTTCTGCTCGGCCACGTTGCACCCACCACGGGCTCCAATCACCACTGCGTCACGATGTGCTGTCACACCGATGGTCCTAAGGACGGGCGTGTGATAACACCAGCAGAGTACTGTGCTTTACCTGAGTGGCCCCAAAGGCCCAGGTGCTGCAGACCAGGTACACAGCCCTGGGTGTACCAAGGGGGGGAGCCTTGGAGAGTGACACACACACAAGAAGTACGGGACACCCTCCCTGCTGCAGATGGACCCTGAACCAAGACCTGGCCAGCACCCCCAAAATGACCGGCACAGCACCAAAGGCCACGGTGTGACAGACACAGACAAGGTGGCTGAAGGCCTTCCCCAGGCACCGTCTGACCTAGGCCCTGAGGAAGAAGCAGGGCTTAAAGGAGAGACAAACGTGACCGACCACCTAGTAGGTGAAGAACGAGACACAGACCGGGGCTCGCAGGTTCCCCGCCTCCAGGTACCTCTAGGGCTGGCCTGGTCCTTCTCCTGTACTGGACGCTCCACGAAGGTTATTTAACGAGTGAGCAGAAAGGCATGAAGACATGATTTATTTCCACTTGGGACCTTGGTCAATAACGAGATCGCCTTCTACAGCACTGTGCCTAGTGGAAATTACGTCCACTTCACAGTAACCTGCTTTATGACACAGCTTCCAGGAAGGGGTCATCAGAAAGAGTGGTGTCATCGTTCATCAGTGGGCAAGGCTGGCTTTCATTAACTGGCAGGCCTGCTTTTACTGTTTTCTCCAAGACCTAGACAAATTCTCTAAAACCTACAAATTCACACATCACGTTTATGAAGAACGCTTACCACTTTTCAGTAAAATTGTAAATATGCAAATGAACACCGATCATAAATGCAGAGACAGAACTGAGGCGGTGTGAGATGCGTGGCAGCCAACCACACAGTGCTGCACACAGAAAGAGCGCCGTGCTTCACTCCGGGAGACCGCCAGGAAAGCAGGCTGGGTGCAGGCTCTGGGCCCGGGGACAGCTGAGCCCAGCAGGCCGCCCGTGCGTCTGCAGACCTCTCGGCACTGTTAAAAGTTACCTGAGAAAACGCGTAAAGGGCTGGCGTGCGGAACACAGGCAGTAAATACAGCAAGTATTAATGGTGCGATTCCAATCAAGAGGGATGGATACTTGGGAAAGCAGTCATTTTGCAAAAACAAAATACAGTCGCTTAGCACCCAGGACAAAGGACGTGGACCTCTACGACACCCGAGGATACCAAAATGAGTGGAAGCGCAAGTCCCTCATGTAGAACGGCAAACGATTCCACGTGCAAAACCTCCTACAAACTTCAAACCAGCACTGGACTGAAGCTATTAACACAACGTAAATACTAGGCAAACAGCTGTTCTACTGCGTTGTTCAGGAAACTGTGACGAGAGAGAAGAGTGTGTGTGTGTTAAATGCAACTCGGTTTTCTAAAGGACATTTTCTGTCTGTGGTTGGCTGAGTCTTTGGACATGGAACCTGCAGATAACCAAGGTCAACCGCGATCCCTCAGCCAGGTGCTGGTCTCTGGCAACTGAGGACGTCCTGAAACCAATCTCCCAGGGATATCAAGGAACCTCTGTCCACCCAAATCCTTACTTTCTCTCTTTGAAGTGAGGTAGTTGACTCACTGAAGGTTTGGGCACTTAGGATGTTTATTTCTTTTTTTTTTTGAGTTGTTGATGCACCTTTATTTTACTTATTTGTTTATATGCAGTGCTGAGACTCACACCCAGAGACTCACACGTGCTAGGCAAGCGCTCTACCACAGTGAAAAAACTACTTGAAGGCCATCAGGGACTACCTGTGTGGGCAAAGGGTGGACGACAGCCACCATGTCAAGAGAGCAGCTCTTCCGCAACACCGTACACAGCGATGGACACAGATTCTCTCTCACGGGGATGTTAAAAAGCATTTTAGGGCTCTGTTACGCCTTTTGAACTTCACCCCCACCACCTGGCTACCAGGGACGTGAACCCTCTGTCTACACAGCATATTGTTTGAAGTACGTGTGCCCCCAAAGCTCATATAACACAATGCAAGACAGTTTAGAGACGAAACAATTGGGCCTTGACAACTTTAAAGGAATCAGGGCAGTAATCCCTCCTAGGGATTAACCAGGGGGTGACTGTAGGCAGGTGGGCTGTGCCTCTGGGGTTTACAGCCTCCCCCCTTCTCTCTCCTCTAATCTTAGGGTCTCCCTTCTACATATCCACACACAGATTTACTTGTTGATTGGTACATGACATACGTGGAAGTGGATGTGACACCCACACATGCACATGGCATAACTGTGTCTGTTTGTCCCCAGGTTCCTCCCTGTCCCACCCCTCCTCTCTCCCCCTTCATCCTTACTCCACCCTACTATTGTCCCAGCTATTTTCTTGGGAACTCCTTGTCTTTAACTCCCTTTTCCTCTCAATCTTCTGCATAAGTGAAAAAACATCAGCCTCGTGACTCTCTGAGTCGGGCTTATTTCACTTGGCACGATGCTGTCTGGTTCCTTCCATTTACCAGCAAATGTCGTGATTTCGTTCTTCTTCAGGGCTGAGTAAAGCTCCCTTGTGTATGTGCACCACGTTTCCTTTATCCATCGTCTGCTGATGGACACCTAGGCTGGTCTCTCAACTTAGCTGCTGTGAATTGTGCTGTTACGAATATTCACTAACTATGCTGATTTCAATTCCTTTTGGGGGGTTGGGTGGGTACCGGGGATTGAACCCGGGAACACTGGACCACTGAGCCTCATCCCCAGCCCGATTTTGTATTTTATTTAGAGACAGGGTCTCACTGAGTTGCTTAGGGCCTCGCTTTGGCTGAGGCTGGCTTTGATCACGTGATCCTCGTGCCTCAGCCTCCCAAGCTGCTGGGATGACAGGTGGGTGCCACTGCGCCAGCTGATTTCAACTGTTTTGGTTAAATAAAGAGGAAATTTAACACAACAGCAGAAAAGCCCGAGGTAGGGGGACATCTTTGTCGCGTCTGGTCTTCAGATGCAGGTGGTGCACGTGTGTTGACAGGTTCAGAAGCACGTATGTTCCAAGACCCTCAGTGCATACCTGAAATCACAGACAGGACTGACCCCGATACATGCTGTGCCTCTTCCTATATGTCCTGCAGCATGGCCACGCAGGGTCAGGGTTGACCGGTCACTCCCCGTTTTGTCCCCCAGCCTCTCCTTTGCATCACTGATCTGGCGTTCCCAGGGCCATTATCAAGCAAAATAGGTGTCACTTGAATACAAACAGTGCCACAGGACGACCACAACTGAACGGATAACCAACTAAGTAACTGAAGGGTAGGTGATGTATATACTGTGTGGATCCACTGCACAGAGGGGTCACTCACCTACTGAGCAGCACGGAGCAGACACATGAGATCATCGTCACGCTACTCGGCGCAACAAGCAATTTAAATCTTACAAAGAATTGAACCTTGGAACTTTCCATTTAATATTTTCAGACTGTTTCTGAGTGAGCATCAAGAAGTGTGGAAAGTGAAACTGTGCCGTACAGGATGAGGTTCCGGGAGAGGGATCCCAGGGAGCCATCAGTCTCGAGCACTTCATTTATGGGCTGGGAGCAGTGACAGATGCCTCCCAGAGCTCAGAGTTTCCCACCGTCTAGCTCAGGGTGCCACCGCACGCAGGGCACCTATGTGAGGCTCTGCAACAGCACCAGACTGTGCTGCTCTAATTACACGAGCCGGCGCCCAGCTGCACTCTGCATCCTTGATGATAAAGGCTGAACTCCTGTCAGCTCTGGGTGCCCCATGCTAGCACAGACCTGCTACACCACAGACGCTTAATAATTCTAGGATAAATGACTAAATGCACCAGATCAAAACAAAATTACTAAGGAAAACAGAGAAGCAAGAATAAGCAAATAAACTAACTTAGGAAATGGTTTTAAACGGCAATTAGTATATTCTCAGACCACAGTGCTAATTTACAAAAATCCAACCTTCAAAAGAAACCCATATTGATTCCAGGCTGGGCGCCAAGCGCCATGCGCGGTACAGAAACGACAAAGACGAATGGGATTGATATTCTTCCTTACGTGAGGGAGCTGAACTTTTTAACTAACTACGTGGAAACATGATTGAGGATAGAACAGACAGCGAAACAAACATGTTTAACGTTTTAAGAGTCACAGGGCACATAGGTGGCTCCAGTGAGACTTACCGTCGGTGGGGGTCACACTCTGGCAGGAACGGGTACCCTTATCCCTCCTGGAGGTGAAGTATGCCCAGCTTGGGGTGTCCATCCAAGCCGTGCAGTGCAGAGGTGTTCACCTGCATTCTAGACAATCTGCTGAACCAGTCAGGGACAGGCCTTCTGCCAACACCATCCCAGGGTCTGATTCTGCAAAAGAAAGAAAGGAAGAAAAAGAATTAGGCTATCCTCAGTCTTTCCGTGCCACCAGACCAGTTTAAACTAGACCACTGTCTTAGTCCACTCAGGTGGCTGTGAGAGAGGCCCATAGACTCTGTGGTTTAACAACGACAGACGTGAATTCCCGTAGTTCAGAAGGCTAGTCCTGAACCAGGCCTTTTTCAGGTTGTGGACTCCCACGTTTCTGTTGCAGGTGCACCTTTCAGTGGTAGAAACAGGGCTTTGGGGTGTCCCTCTTGTGACAGCACTAATCCTGTCCATGAGGACCCCACCCTTGGACCTCACTACCTCCCCAAGGCCCACCTCCTAACACCATCACACTGTGTGTGTGTGGAGATTTAAACACATTCGTCTGGGGAGGCATGCAAACACTCTGGCCCTAGCAACGCTAACCTAAATAAATACCCAGGGACACTGTTAACTGGTTTTTTTTTTTTTTTTTTTTTGGTACCTGGGATTGAACTCAGGGACACTCAACCCCTGAGCCCCCTCCCCAGCCCTATTTTGTATTTTATTTAGAGACAGGGTCTCCCTGAGTTGCTTAGGGCCTGCTTTTTGCTGAGGCTGGCTTTGAACTGGAGATCCTCCAGCCTCAGCCTCCCGAGCCTCTGGTATTACAGACCTGTGCCACCCCACCCAGCAGTAACTGGGTTTTGAGCATGGCGGTGTTTTCAGACTTACAGGAATTAAACCCCAAATCTCTAATTCCTTAATCATCATATCAATCATCATATCACAAATGTCCTGGACCCAAGGTGGCTCCCCACAAGGGGGAGAAAGGGAAAAGAAAACACCAAGGCAGAGGCGATTTGATAAGCTTTTCAGCCTCCTCCCTAGTTTGCTGAAGGAAGAGGCCCCCTTGCAGCTGTCAGATTCGCTTCTCTATCTGTGGTCAGAGAAAACCTCTGTCGTCACACCAGGGGACCACAGAACCTTGGACTGCCATTCCTGAGACTCCTGCAGCCTGGATTACTAGGAGGAGGGCACTGTTTGAAAAAAGAATTGCCAGAGCCCTTCCAATCTGGGTCGGGCCGCTTCTTGAGTCTGACCCACAGCCCAGAGTGGCACTGGACCTATTTACTGAAGGACCTCCAGGCAGCAGGAGCTTTAAAATTGAGCTTTCAACTCCTATTTGAGCCTCCGCCTTCTGCAGATGAGACACCCAGGAGGCTCAGAGACATCGCCCATCCTGCCCAAGGTCACACAGCATAAAGCCACATGGGGATGTGAAAAGCTGCCCCCAAGTCGTCGTCCAGCCTTTCCAGGAAGTGCTTAGGAAAAACAAAAAAACAAAGGTGGGCCTTGAAAAGCCGCCGTGTCAACCGCCCCAACCCAGCCCCCCCGCATTAGTCTCCTGGAACAGCCGGGGCTTTCTGCAGGGCGCGAGGGCGGGGAAGAGAAACGAACCGTTTCCGGGACACAGACGGAGAGGAGCAAGCGCTTCCGGAGCACGGCCGATGAGGGTCATTAAAGGTCAGCAGGTTCGCAGGTGGCGGCCAGCCCGCAGGTCGCGCTGAAGGGCTCATAAGGGTTAAGACGCATCTCTAGGTGGTTAAGGTAGCATAACTCGACAGGAAAAAGTTTTGTCCTTGCCCGCACCAGAGGACACCCGGCCGAGCGGTAACGTGGGCGCCGCCATGTTGAGCGCCGCGTTTTAAGTAGAGCCGGCGGGCCTCCGCGTCGGCGTGATGACGTCACAGACGTGAGCGGGAGGTGGGGGAGGTACCGCCCACTCTAACGCCAGACCTTCGTGGGCGGGCGCGCGGCCAGCGGAGCTCGGCTCTGATAGGTGGAGCCGCATTGAGTGACATCCCGCTTCCCCCTTCTGGTTAAGGATTAGCGGCCGGGGCCGTCAACACGGAAGTGCCTCAGGCTTGCATTGGTAGGACCGAGCGCCGGGGCCGAGCGAGGCTCCGGAGGGTCAGGGTGGGCTGCCCCGGGGGTGGAGAAATGAGGCAGTAGCCCCACCTACCCCGGGCAGCTGGAGATCTCCCGGCCTGCGCCTGATGGGCCTGACCACCTAGAAAAAGACCACCCAAATCCCTCCTCCACCCGCACGCCTGCACCAGTAGACTCAAAACCTGGGCTGGGCCCTGCAGCGCTGGCCCGGATTCTCTGTGCAGCCTGCACAGGCTGAGCCTCCCCGCCTGCACGGGGCCCAGCTTGGGGTATCAGCAGCAAACCGTCCCTCGATTCCTGGTCCAGCCCAGTGACCCAGAATCAGGATTTGGGCCCCCCCCCCCCCAGGAAGCCAGGGTGGACAGGCGTGTGGGGACAGGGTTTCATTCACATGGGCATATTGTGTCCACTGGGGCTTTGCAGCAGCACATACAGAATATTTATATTTAGGTGTGTTGCAAGTATATGGTGGTGGAAATTCATTGTATGAAGCCTTCTGGACCTTTTGTCAGCCATGACCTCAATTTGTCTGGAGCTACTTGGGCATGAACGGTGTTGCGTTGTTGGATAATAGCTTATTGCATTATTAACTAATCAGGGGTATCAGAATTTTTAAAAGATAAGGATACCTATGATGGAAATGGAGGTGCACCAGGACCTATCTTTGAAATTTACTGATGCACTTCCAAAGAGCAAATAAATCTGTTGCTCGCTTGGAATTTGATGCAGTCTCTAATAATTTCCCCATTTTGCAAGAGCAACCCTCCCCCCAGCAGAAAGTCTCAAAAGTTCAAAAAAAAAAAAAAAAAAAGCTCAGAGGACTTGCCAGTTGGAATTTATACATCTGTTTCTTGCAAGTAATTAAAAAGAACAAGTATGGAAAGTTGGGCGTTTTGTTGTTGTTTTAATAATTAACCAGAGTATTGAATCCATGTTAAAAAAGAAAAGAAAAGAAAAGAAAATGGTTCCCTGAAAAACTGCTGGGATTGATTAGAATTCATTGAAACAACTGCACTTAGAAAATCATACGTTAAAAGAAAACCATGCACGAAAACAGGTGCAAAATTACAGAGTGTGTGGAATAAACTATACTAATGTGTAACTTTTTTATTATTTTTTATTTATTCTTTTTTTTTTTTTTTCTTTGACGATTCTGCAGGTAGAATGAAGCCCATCAACTTGTCGTTTGCAGCCTGTGGGTTTCTGGGCATTTACCACTTGGGGGCAGCATCTGCATTTTGCAGACATGGCAAGAGGCTGCTGAAGGGTGTCAAGGCCTTTGCCGGGGCTTCTGCAGGATCCTTGGTTGCTTCTGTCTTGCTAACAGCGCCAGAAAAAATAGAGGTAATTAAGCAGTAACGAGGCTGTGTTCCTCATTAAGAAATTAAAAGGGAATGGCGAGAATGAGTGCCGACTCTTTACAGAGAAATCATGCTTTGCCTGGGAAACAAAAGGTTTAGACTTTTCTTTTAAGATCGACTCTTCAGGGATCTGTGCCCTGGGTTTGGAAAAGAAGATTATTTGGGGTGACAGTAAGACAAGGATATAAAAATGCTCTCGAGTTTTTATTTAGCCTTAAGATTCCAGCACTGTGTCTTGCAGCAAAGGATTTTTTCTTCTTTCTATGAGCATGACGAGAGCACAGAGCCTATTTTCAAAGCCTTGAACATGTGGCCTGTACCTCTGCTCACTGCTATTTTCTAACAGGCGCATAAATGAAACTGGGCATACAATTTCAATTAAGTGGAATGATATGGGAATTTAATTTGTTTTTAATTCTCACAGTTAGTAGAAGCTCTGAATTCCAAGCAGTTTAACCAGAAGTAATAAAAAATAGCCGTCATTAGGTATTTTCTTTAATGCAATCTATGTTTTTAAAATCGGTTTTCTGCTATCTGGACTGTGATCAAACATTCACCGACCGCGAGCTGGTTTCTATGGGTGGAGAAAATATTTGCTAATTACTTACACAGGCGGATGGCTTTGAACCATCAGAAGACGAGGATTTAACCCATTCGTGCCCGAGGATGAGTCTCAAGGCTGCGGGGATTTTAAACATCAAAATCTCAGTCTCAGATTTCAGGGAAGTTTTTCAGAAATCCAGCCACCTCATCTTTAGATGGTTTGGCGTTCAGAAAACTAGAAAAGTGACTAAAAGCCATAGTGATTACACAGGACGAAAACCCTGAGGTCTGAATCCCCCACCCCCAAGCTTGCAAAATCCTGTGCTTTGAATTGCAGGCTCTGGCTCCTCCCAGAACCTGCTTTCTTTTTCGCTGCAGCAAGCCGTGGCCTGGAGAGGCGGGGGAGGGGACTTTCCCTTCCTCTTTCATTCAGTCTTTTCTTTAAGTGGAACAAATCTCTGAGCTCTGGAGTTGAGTCGATTTGATTTCTAGTCCTCAGCAAATTTAGGAATGTATTAACTGTGATGAACTCTTTACATGATTTGGAAACGCTACAATAAGATAGGCATTTATGCAGCTGGAATTCTGTGATGTTAAGAGGATGCCTGATTTGCTTGGATTGTTTTCAAATCAGATTACGTGTTTTTATGTATTTATTCTTTTTTTTCCAAGTTGGAAAATGGGTCACGTTGGCTAATCATGTTGCTGTGCCTTACGGCTAGGTCTTTTGGGTGTTCACATTGGAAGGTGAAAATTATTCTCTTTATCGACCTTAGGACATTCTCATTTCCTCCTTGGTCCTTTTGAAAACTAATGTTTCTGCCAAAATAGTTTGTTTTTTTTTGCACAACCGGGAATTTAACCCAGGTCCTCATACACACTAGGCAAATGCTCTACCACTGACCCACAACCCCAGGGCTGTGCCACAATAACCTTTTGATGGAAAGGCTATTTCTTTTCTCTTTAGCAATTGGAAATAACTGGTCGATAAAAGTGCTTTGAGGTTTTTTTTTTTTGTTGTTTTGTTTTGGAAAACTCTTCAATCTACTCAAATTACAGGTTAGCTCAGTTCTGCTTGGTGCTGTAAATTCCTGGACCTTTTCACTCTTGTGACAAATATGCAATTAATCTTGTTGTGAGCTTATGCAGGTCTAATTAAGAGGAGCGCCCTCCATGTCTAATTAAGAGGAGCCGATGCTCCACGTCTTTGAGGTGGTGGGCAAATTGAGGCATGGATATGTGAGAAAGAGCCTGGAACTGCAAAGCCTTCCCCAGCAAACCGCCCCTCAGTTCCTGGTCCAGCCTCAGGACTGGCAAGGAAGGCATAGCATTGGTCACCATGGGGCACTCAAAGGTGAAGAAGTCCACTCCTTATTATTGTGCCCCCTGTCCAGCTCCCGTTCACATTGAAAGTCCTAGCCCAGATGTCACAGTGCAGGGAAGCCTCTCCCACCCTGAGGCTGGGGGCTGATACCCACTGTATTGGCTTCCTGTTGATGCTGTAACCAGGGGCCACCAACCGGATGCCCTCAGACAGCAGGAGTTATTATACCTTATCGTTCTGCATCTCGCTCTCTCCTTGCCCTTTCCCGTTTCTCATGGCTGCCCAGGTTCCTTGACCCCGGGACCCCTTCTCCCGTCTTCTAAGCCATGAGCGTGGCCTCTTCAATCCTTTTCATCTGGGACCCTTCTGCCTCCCCTTTTCTCTTACTTCAAGTTGCCACTACAAAATGCCTGAAAAAGCCAACTTACAAAGACAAAAAATGTTTGTTTGGGCTCATCATGTCCCAGAACAAATGGAACCAACCATTTCTTTGGTGCTCTGATGTCAGTTGGCAATGGCCGGAGCACTGGGTGGAACACATCGCTCACGTTATGGCCAGGAAGCAAAAGAGAGGAAAGAGGAAGGACTGAGGCCCCCGTGATCCCTTTCAGGGCACACCCCCAGTGACCTCAGGACCTCCCTCGAGGCCCCACCCCCAAGGTCCACAGCACCTCCCCACAGGGCCACCCCAGGGACCAAGTCTTTAACACCTGGACCCTTATGGGGACATCCAACCTGCAAAGTGCAGCACCTTCCAAGTGCTTGGGACAGCACTGTGCCACCTCCCCGTGGTGGCACTCAAAAAAAGACAAAAGCGAAGATCTCCCAAATCTCAGGGACTAGCCCAGTATTGACCGAATTAACCAGATAATGAATCAAAGTGTGCAAGTCAAGTAGCCACGCCACATTAAGGAAATAAGGAAATAGCTTATTCTGAGCCCCATAGGAGTGGCCTTGACCCAGGTACAAAGATTTAAGTTAACATGACCCATTCCCGCACAAGGAGGAGGTTTCAGGACCTTTCACAGCGGCAGAACACAGATGAGATGTTCCTAAGTAGTTGGTGGGGGACATTAGGTAGTCAGACTAGAGCCCAGCAGGGGAACAGGTTTCAGACACAAATCGCCTTCTTAGCTTAGGGGCTGGTGGAGGCCAGAGGTCTAAGCTTAGCCATATATTCTGAGTTTACTCCTCGTCAGGAGAATGTGAGGTCAGATACCAAAGTTAACATAAACGGCTGCTAAAGGGCTCTGTAATCACAATGCCCAGCTCAGGCAGGGTCCAGCATCTGCAGGATCTTTATAATGAATACGTGCCTCCTTCAGACAACCTGACTTGCTCAGAATGCAGACGTGGATTCAAATCCTGGCTCCCACGTGCATTTCTGATGTGCTGCTGGGAAAGGTCGTCTAATGTCTGCAGGCCTCGGTTTTCTTACCTGCCAAGTGAGGTGATTACTCCCAGCTTGCAGGGTCCCATGAACATGCCGTGACAGCCGGCCTTGAGGATCCCTGCCCCAGGGACTTGTAGGCTGTCCACTGCTCAAGACACACCTCCAGAGAGAGAGCCACTGTGCTTTCTGCATCCGTAGTCATTCATCTGTGCCCTTGTGGGGCTGCAATTGAAATGCTTCTGAGGCCCCGGAATTGGGGAGGGAGAGAGGGTTAATTGTGCGTGGCAATCTGTAGAAAAATGTTCTAAATTAGAATTTCAGTCTTCAAGGCCTTTTCAATTGTCGAGTAAGGCCATTTGAGGTGGCTTAAAAAGAAAGAAAAAAAAAAGAGAGAGAGAGAGAGACAAATTGTAAGAACAAGTAATTTGCCCTGGGGCTAAGAAGAGTGGATAAGGAGAAGGGAGGGGGGAGGTTTGCACACTTGTGCAAAAGAGTGTGGCATCCTGTGTCCGGCTGGGTGGGCGTGTGGAATCCAGAGCAATGGGAGGAATTTTGGAAGAGGGATGAATTCATGTGGACAATGCAGAGGGTCAGATGTTCATTTCTTTTTCAGGAATGTAACCGGTTCACCTATCAGTTTGCTGAAGAAACGAGAAAGCAGTCTTTCGGGGCGATGACCCCCGGGTATGACTTCATGGCCCGGCTGAGGTACATGTTTACACAGCGCATTTCCCCCCCCCCCAAGTACTCGAAGACAGAGTGTTGAACGCTCTCCAACAAAGTGTGCCAAGCGCAGCCCTCGCTCTTGTGAAATATTTACAAAGTTGCTCAATAATTAACGGTGAGTAATGCGTGCGGCTTGCTTTTCCTTCTCCAGGAGCGGCGTGGAGTCCATCCTTCCTCCCAACGCCCACGAGCTGGCCCACGATCGACTGTACGTGTCCATCACCAACACCAGAACCAGGCAGAATTACCTGGTCTCCCACTTTCCCTCCAGGGAAGACCTCATTAAGGTAGCCGGGCCGCATTTCCCATTTGCAAAAAAAAAACAAATGCTGATTTAGATACTTCCTAGGAATAATAAGCATCGCCGGGCTCTTCAGATCCGGGGTCTGGTACCAGGCTGATAGATGCTCAGGGCGCAGTAAATTACGTGTCTGATGAATGGCTCCCCCAGCCTCCCTCCCCAGGCCGCGAGGCCCACGCCTCCTCTACTTGACTCCTCATTTTCAGGCTTCACCACTTACTATGGGAAGCGAGTTGCGGGTGCAGTTTAGTAGCAATAATACTCCCTGAAATCTACGTGGCCGATCCTGGGTAGTTTGTGGAGGAGCGTCCACATGGACGCTCTTATTCCATCCGTCTGGAGTCGTCTGTGAATCAGAATGGGGAAGACCGGGAAGGAGACTCGCGCACAGGCCTTAGGACAGCCCTTTTATTTTTTTCCCCAATATTTATTTTTTAGTTGTCGCTGGACACAATACCTTTGTTTTATTCATTTATTCTCATGTGGTGCTGAGTTCGAACCCAGGGCCTCTCGCATGCCAAGCGGGCGCTCCAGCACCGAGCCCCAGCCCCAGCCCCAGCCCCCGTAGGACGGCCCTTTTAAGACTCAACAATGAGGAAGTCACGGTGGGAAGATTTTATGGGGTGTGACACACACCAAGGTTGACACCTACCGCTGGTCATTGGTGACGAGTCCTGCTTCCCCACGAGTTTGAACATTGGAGAAGCACGCAGAGGCAAGCATAGGAAGCAGGGTCTGTTTGAAAAGGGACAACGCAGACTTCTCCCAGGAGGGAGAAGGGGCCATAGCTGGTAGCCTGGTGTCCCAAGAGGCGAGGGGTTCTGCCCTTTGTGTATGTCCTAGGCTTCCTATCTTTCTCCTTCCTGCATAAGTGACCAGGCCCAGGAATGGCGGGGTGGCCCAAAGGTGGGAACCCGGTGGGCTGAAGGGGAAGGGCAGGGTGGTGCAGCCCAGGACACATTAATCAACAACCCTGTAGGCAGGGCTGGTCCTGGGGCTGGTTACCTTGGCAACAGGTTGGAGCAAGGGCAGTTCTCCATAAAGATGGAGGAAGGGCCATGAAGGAATTAGCATTTCAGGCCCTCAGGGCGCAGTCTAGACTTGCCAGACTCACTCAGGACTGGCCTCCTTATATCCAACCTCACTGGACCTGTACGGGCTGCCTGTCTGATTCTGGCTTCAAGGTCATCCTGCCGGACCCTGGCCACCAGTTCTGGTTTCTGGGTCTCGACTTTTCAATCTAACCTTTCGTTTCGTTTCTTGCATTTTATTTTAATGCCTTTCTATCCACAGGCATGTGAGAATTGCTTGGGGGAGAATTCATTATCTCTGGGAAATGCTTCTACTGGTTAATTTCCAAATAACAGTGAACTTTTGCTCAGGTGATGCTTGAGTGTTTGTATCTCGGGAAGGGTGCCCATTTTTAGAAAACGGGGCAGATTTTCCTTAGTCCTTTTGTGCGAATCATGGCGACTTTGGATAACACAGAGAATCATGTTTTGATACAGCAGGAGGTAATGGGTTGAGACTGAAAAACTCTGCCCGGGTTAGACAGCAGGTGCACTGGTCTTTAGTAACACCTTGATGCTGCAGTCCGGAATGCTTGATGAAGTGTTGGAACGACATGCAGAGATACTCAGCGTTCCTGTTCAGCACCATCACTTATAACCGTCTTTTAATCTTAGAAAAAGAATTTTCTTCCCTGATCCTATTATGAATCTTATTATAATATTCTGCAGACTTGGACAATATCAAGAGGACAGCTGGTCACCCCACACCTGAGTTGTCCCAGGCTATCCGTGACCCATGCAGACACACAAGGACTGCCATTTCTCTTCTGGCTCGCCTAGGAAGAGACGTGGGCTGTTGTAATGTAAAAGAAGCAGGGACCCTTGCCTCGGCTGTCATATTTTCTTCTAATTGAAATATGACGATCGTACATATTTACGTGGTACAAAATGTGATTTTTTGATACTCGCGCACAATGGCAAAACGATCCAGCAGGGCCATTAGCAGGTCCGTCACTTGCAACAGTCATCATTTCTTTGGGAATATGAAAAAATCCTTTCTTCTAGCGACTTGGAAATATAGAATTAAATTACTATTGCCACTCTACACCAACACCAGGACTTATGCCTCTTAGGTAGCTGTATCTGGTACCCAATAGCCACCCTCTTTCTATCTTCCCCACCTGGTTTATTGGCCAGGGCCTCACATCCAGCACATCTTACTGCTAAGTTAATTAAGCTTTTGCTGTTTGGCAGGATGCTCACCCCAGGAGGGCAGAGATTGCTGGTTTTCCCATAGCTGTCCCAGTGCCCGGGACATGGCCAGCCACGATGCAGGGGCCCCACCAACTCGTGAGAAATGAACCAACACAAAGGAAGACATAAACCAGCTGAGGTGGCATCTACTACAATGGCCTGCTTTAAAAGTAGGAAGTGGGTCCCGCCTGTCCCATAACCTGTGCGAAATGGTGTCGCTAGTTAGCGGTCCACCTGGCGGGACAGTGCATTCTCTAGCCTTCTGCTCCCGTCACACCTGAAGCTAAATAAAAACAGTCATCTTTTTCTGTCCCTTTGGGGAATGAGGGTTGGGTCGGCAGAATCTGGGCCCTCAAAGACATCCGTACCTGAATCCCCAGAGGTATAAGGATAGACACTGATGGCGCCGGAGATATTTGGAAATGTGATATGGCACAGACCTTCGGAAGGGAACGTGCTCCTGCATTGTCCCAGTGGACCCAGGATAAGCAGATGAGTCTTGAGAAATGGAGGCCTGTCCTAAACTGGATGTGCTGTGGCTGATTCTGAGATGTGAAAGCCGTGTTCAGGTGCTAGGGGCGGCTCCCCACTGCCAGGGAACCTCAGCCTTGCGACCCTATGCAAGTGACTCCATCTAGTACCTGGATTAGCAAGGAAATGATTCTTCTCGGGAGCCTCCAGAGGGGAACACAGAGCCCTGCCTGCAGCTGAATGTTGCCCTGGTACCCCCCATCGCACGATTGGGACCTCCTGTCAGCATGCGCAGGGCTGTGCCTTGTTTGAAGCTCTGGTGGTCATCTGTTGTGCAGCGATAGCAAACTCTCGCCATAGGGCAACACCATGTCTCCCTGATTCCCGGGGTCACAGCTACGCAGAGAACTGGTGCAATTATTTGGGTTCATCAGACAGAGGAGAAATAACTGATGTCCACGTGTAAGACCTTGCAAGGAGACTGTTGGATAATTAGCATTTGTCCTGGGTTCCACAAGAAGCCTCCTCCGTGTTTAGCAGAACGCTTTAACCTTTTCAGACTAAAACGAAGGGAGGACATTCCCTTTGTAGCAGATGTTGACTATAAAAATATATGAAGTCGCCGCTTGGAACAGGCATGAAGCATTTAGCTGAACGGAGTAAGAATGGTGAAGACCGGGAAGGAGAGCCCAAACCCAGCAGTGTGGGGGGACACGCAACCAACCCCTTGCCAGCAGCCCCTTCATCAAGTTTGAATGTTGTGATGGAAGAAGGGGCCAGGGAGAAGGTTGTCTGAGACGGTGTGACCCGTTTGGCCCAGTGGACGATAAGCCAGGGTTGAAATGAGTTTTACAAAAGAACACCTTCAAGAGACGGCCAAGTGTGGGAGGGAAAGTCCAAGACTCAGATCCCCCTCCTTGAGGATAAACTTTGGGATTTCAGTCAGATAAAGAAGCGGGGTGACGCCAGATGAGGTGGCGCACGCCTGTGATCCAAGTGGCCCAGGAGGCCGAGGCGGGAGGATCATGAGTTCAAAGCCAGCCTCAGCCAAACCGAGGTGCTGAGCAACTCAGCAAGACACCTGCTCAGGACCAAGCGGGATTCTATGATTCGGACAAAATGGTTTCCCAGGGCCTGAAACGTAACTTGTCCTCATAACCCGTACGTCAGAGGTGTCACCTGCAGCAGAGCTGATGGAAGACGGTTTGTCCCCGATCTGCATGGCCTCCACAGCCTCAGTGGAGCCAAGGGAAGGCAAGGAAGGAAGGAAGAGGGCGCGTGGGGTCAGTCGGGGAAGTGAAAGTACCCGGGGCTGCTCTGCGTGATGGCACCAGGCAGCTGTGTCTGTGGGCGGGTGATGACCAGAGTTAGCCGTGGTCCTCCCACGCCGTCTTGGAGGCTGGGGTCTTCTTGTGATGGCGCTCAGGTCCTTGAGAAGTGTCCTGTTAGGGTTTGAATCTGGAGTGTCCCCCCCCCCCCGCCATGTGTTAGTGGATGGGTCCCCAGTGCAGAGAGTTCAGAGTGGGGAGCTGGGGGACTGGTGGCATCCTGAGGACTCTGACCTCGTCCCCTGATGGAGTCGGCATTGGCTGGCTCGTGGGTAGTGGCGGAACCCATAGGAGAGGGAGCCTGTTGGAAGGAGGAGGTCACTGGCACATGCAGGGCCTCTCGTCCCTGGCCCCATCCTCCCTGTCCCCGCTTCTCAGCTACCGTGACCTGAGCAGCTCTGCTCCACACGCCCTCCTGCCACCACGCTGTGCCCACCTCAGGCCCAGGGCCACGGGTGCCATCTGTGAAGGAGAGAGACGGGGAGAGACAGAAACAGTGAGAGACTGAGAGGCGGACCAGAGTTAGGGTAGAGGAACGCGGGAGAGTGCTAGACGCGGTGCCCCCGTTGCCTTGTGCGTCCAGCGCTATCATGAGCTCCTTTCCCCGCCCCCTGCTAGGTGAATTCCTTAAAAGTGCCTGGTGCTTCCCTGGGCACCCGCTCACTGCTGCTCCTCAGTGTAGACAGGGTGCTGTGTGCCTGGAAATACAGCCTCGAACCCGGGGCTTACAACGTGTGCGTGTGCACCTGTGTGCGCGTGTGTGTACCTGTGTGCATGTGTGTGCACCTGTGTGCACGTGTGTGCATGCACACGTGTGCAGGTTTAGGCCTGTCAGTCCTCTCTGGGATCATGCTCCCTGACTCCCTGCTGCAAAATGATTCTTTCGACGGATGGTGTGATGCTTCTGATTATTTCCCAACAGC